CAGGTCTTCTTCTGCAGTTTATGGCACACCATCGTCTGCTTCAGTGAATGATTTGCATATCAGATGGGAGGCTGGAGGAGTCCAAAGGATCCCCTAGGTCAGGTTTTGTAACAAACTCTTTTAGAGAGCAGATTCTTGGAGGGCCATCGGATTCAAAAGCAGAGAGGAGGCATTCACCTGGAGGGGCAGCAGGTATTGGGAGCTGGTTCGTCCATTTGAAAAACAAGCTGCTTAAGCAGGGAAAGGGGCATACAAATTGTCTTTCCATACATTTCCATGCAGGCAAGGGGAATAATGGCAGAGGAGCGGCAGGGAAGGGGCTTTGTCATGGTTACAGGCCGGTGGCTGAGAATGTGGGTGGAGCGGCGCTCGTCCAGAGTTAGTGACCTCAGCAAATTGGAGCTCAGCCATGGTCAGTATGATAAATGATCTTATTCTGGGTCAAAGAAATGGTACCCCACAGGGAGGTATCCGCAAGGCGGCCCGGGAAGGCGCTTTGCTCTTACAGCGCTGACCCCTTAGTGACCAGTGCTACATATATCTTATTTATTACAGACCAGAAGGGAATTTTCCATGCTTCGGCCTTTATAGGGTTCCCCTGTTTCCCTGAAATAAGCTCCCAGTTCTGCAGCCAAGGCAAGATATGGGTGTGATTATAGCCTCTGGGTGCCCTTCGAGGCACTGTGTGCTTTCTGCGGGTTCATAGGCGGATTTGAAGGTAGGGGACACGGAGGTGTCTGGTCATTGCGTGCGTCTGTGTGTGTTTATCTGCCAGAGACCTGTGCAGCTCTCCGGGAGCCGAGAGCTGCGTGTCTATGTCAACTGGTATTACGGTTGTGCAAAATCCTTTGGCGTTTCTGCACATTTATCAGTTCAACGTGAGATCCTTCTAGTGCAACCCCCAGCTTGGTGTTTCTTATTTGAGGCACCTGGTTTCTCTCTGCACACAGCGAGTGTCCTCTTTGCTGAGTTATCACTGATGAATCTGTCAGACCCAGGAGGTTTTATTGAGCTAGGAAAGATCTATGGATTTCAGCCCTGGTTTTGAGAGTGCAAATGGACCCAGCCTCTTGTTCCAGGCAGTGCTAAAATGGCATCTTAGATGCATTTCTCTTTCAGAGGAAGCTCAGCAGATTCTTCATCCAGGAACAGTTGGGATAATGCAGAAGATCAGGCCTTGGAGGATACACAAGAGGACTGAGCAGACTGTGCAGTTCCGTCTGCCACAACCAGGACTGTTTATGATGCAGCTGGGCTGAAAATGAGCCGACGCTGTTGGGTTTTTGTATGCACGCTCACTGCAGGTTTTGCATCCTGTCCGCTTGCGTGACAAGCCGATGACTTTGTGTCACTGCAAGCGCACACTTTGTTTTCCTGAGCTGTGTGTTTCGCTGGGTGATTTGTTTTATGCATGTATTGTGGATTTGAGCTCCCATCTGTGCACTTGAACTAAGCAGTTTTCTCAAACATTTGTCAGTTTTTCTTTTTTTAATTAACTTTAGATTATTTTTCCTGAGAATTTGGAGAGGTTTGATGTACTGTTAGCACAGGCAACAGAAGCTGTCTCTGTGTACAAATAACACAGGGATTTCCTACCATGTGCTTTGGTCCCTCCTTTGCAGTTTGAGAGTATTTGAGCTTCCTTGGCCGGTTCACTCTTCTTTCTCTGCTGATGCTGCCAATGGCGAGGGCAGTTAATGATAATTAGAGTGGATTTTTTTGATGTGGATATTTGTTTGCCGTGAATGAAATGGAGTAGGCTACCAAAAGGATTTCACTGAGACCATGCAGCGATGATAAAAATATGTCATTACTTGGATGAGCTGAACTTGAGATGGTGATGTGGGAGTGAAAGGCTGTATCGTCTCAGCTCTCACCTGAACCTCACTCCTGGGCCAAAATGCCCGGTTGCTTTTGCAGCCAAATGGCAGCACGCGTGATACAACTGTGCTCCTGCAGATAGCAAATGCCTCTGTTATGTGATGGGGGCCAGCTTCAGAACCAACACGAGTGCAAATTTTTTGTGTCGTAGCGATGGTTTAACTTGTCAGTGGATGTGGTGCCTGACTAGGTTGAGTTTTTTTCCTTCCTTATATGTCATTTGTGGAGGACCTGCTGTTTGCATAGCAAATCCTCAGCCCAGGGAGCTGAAAACCTGTTAGACCCGTAGCATAGTATCAGAAAGAAAATGTCTTAGGAATGCTGCGTATGTCAACTGTAAGAGATAAGCAGTTGTGCTATAATTTACCTCTTATTATTTCCATCATGATAACATACAGAGTGCTGAGCTGTTGATCAAGACTGCTATTCGAGGCACTAAGCTGCAAGATGGCTTCTCCCCAGACCACTTGCAATGGAAGTAATCTTGTTCCTTTTCAATATCTTACTTGTGGGAGATGGTTTTGGTGTGGCTCTGGTCATTTTTCATCCTCTGTAATTGATTTGTTCTAGTAATATTGGTGTACAGAATGTGGAGACATGAAGGTGGGGGAAAAAATTCAATGCTGAGAAAGCAACTGAAAGTATTACATCTTAAGGTTGGCTGCGGAGAAGGGGTCTTAATTTTTGTTGCTGTTTGGAGCGGGGAAGCTCCAGGCGTGCAGAGGGGTATCAGTTTTTTTCCTACTGTCTAAATTCTTCAGTATATGTGTACGTGACTTCTGGAGAGGAGCAAATGAATGTAGGCTCAGGTGGGGCTGAAAATAACATTTATTATGGAAGGAGTAGGGGTGAGGGAGTCTTCCAGCTCAGCCTCGAATAAATCAGTCCTCTCGCCCCTTCATCCAGGCTGCTTCTAGGTGGCTGTCTTTTATCCAGCTGGTGCAGCGTGTTTCTGTTTAAACGATCTCTCCTGAAAGGTCCCAGAGGAAAGGGCTGCTTATTCCACGCAAGGAGAATGGTGTATGGCACAGCTCATTGTTGTGTGCCCTGCCGCAAGTGCATAAATATGAAACAGCTCGCGGGCGTTGCTGCGGTGGGGCTGGTGTCCCCTTTGTGCCCCCCCTCCTTCTCCTGAAGGCTCCTCTCCATCTTTCTTCCTCTCTGGCTTTCATTTCTTGGTGATGGAGAGCAAGAGCCGTTTGGGTGTGAGATCCTGAGGGCTTTACGTTGCAGCAGCATTTTTCAGGGGAAGGCAAATATAGTTAACTCTTGTTCTGGCGGCTGACTGACTGGTGTGGTATATATATACTTTCTGAGTGGTGTTTACGTCCCTGGAGCACGTTGCTAGGAAAGCGGCAGAAAATGATCTATTTTGTGCTCTTAACTACGTATCATTACAAGGGAGTCGTGGGTTGGCCTCAGGCAGGTGATCCAGCTCACCGGGCAGTTTTAAGGCACAAAGCAGCTCTTTTTGCCCTGATCAGAGCAAACCAGTCCTCAGAGGCAGCAATACCTGTTGTGCTCTGGGCAGCCCCGCAGTGGGACTGGTGTGCCGGAGGGGGGGAAGCTGCCATCCGGAGGCACCGATGCCCTGGGAAACTGGGGGGGGAACAGAGGGAACCTCAGAGCATCCCCTCCCCCTTTCCCTGGGAAAAGGGGCTCCCATCTGCTGCAGATGGACGTGTCCCCATCGCCTAGTTGATGTGCACCTGCCTACGCCGGGGCTGTTCGTCCTTGGTGTGACAGAAACGATGGGGATAACGTTATTCGGCAGAAGCCCAGCTCCGCTCTGGGTAGCATCCGCAATCCCCTGAAATCCTGGGGTAAGGCAAGGACTGAGTCGAGCCACTACACGCGCATTTATTTTTGCTGGTTGTGAAGCAAACACATGGGAAATCATATGCAGAGTTCGATTCTAGTTCTGAGAGGGGCATGTGGAAAGGTTCCCCCTGACTACGGTGAGCTTACCACACGTGAGACAGACGTGGAAACCCATCCCGCCATCCTCGCTCATCCTGTGAGCAGGGCTCCAGCCCGCGCTGGTGGATTTGTGCCTTTGAAAAGCTTCCTCACGCCTCGAAAACAAACAAAACTCTTTCGGGGCTTTCAAAGGGCTGTTTAAAGGAGCCCTGGGAGAATAACTGATTGTGGATTCAGAATGATGAAGTGGTTTGTGGAACGGTGAAATATAGAGGCAAATGCAGGAGAACTCCACATTGCAATTTGTCGGCTTCTCTAAACCCTGTAACGGATTATTCCCCCCCTCTGTCGCTTCTCACCTCTCCAATAGGAAATTAACTGATGCTATCACTAAAGAAATTGTTTTTGCCTCACAAAGTAAAATTGATACTATAAAAACCCGCCAGCAGTGTCTCCTCCTCCTTTTACATGAAGACAAATCCTTCCTGTCACCTACTGAAATGGGAAGATAAAGGCTGAGCTTTAATAAAGAAGCTATAAGCACAAAGTGTAGCAGGAGGGGGCAGACACAGCGTGGGGAACACTCCACGGCAGCAGGTGTGGTACCGAGGGATGCTGGAAGTGTCCAAAATAAAACTACTGTGGCCGGTGCCTGCGTGCGTGTTTAATGCGTGGTTATGTACACGTTTGTGCCCCAGAGCGCACGTCTCCAAGAGTTTGTGCTGGTTTTGGTACCAATAGTGTCTACCTTTACTCCTTTCAGGTTCTTAGGCTTGCTTGTTTGGACTTTTTAAATCTAATTAAACACACAGAGAGTTAAACATCAATTTGTTAGGTGACAGCGGAATGCATTGGATATGGGATGTGTTAAAGAAATCTTAACATCGTCAGTCTCCTGCTGGATTGGCGCTTCAGCATGAGCTGCATTCGTTCTTTGTGGGATGCGTTTTCTGTGGGAAACCTCTTCTGCCAAACCGAGGGGTTTGGGGCAAAGCCCTGAGCTCTGAGCTCCCTTGAGGCAGGGCTGCCTGTTAGGTGCTGCTAAGTGACGGTCCTGTTAGGTGACGGGAGGTTTGCAGCTATCCCCATCCATCCTGCGTCTTCCTCACCTAGTCTTTTGTGGATAAACGATCACTTTGTTCTGGCATCAGCTAGGAGCCGTCAGCTAGTTTGTAAACTGCTCTCCTTTCTGCTTTCAGGGGATATCAGAAACCTGCTAAAGTGGATCAAAGAGAATCTGTTGAAAGAACGACCAGAATTATTTATGCAAGGGGAGTCTGTGTAAGTACAGCTGTTACGAATCCTCCTTGTGTTTCTCTGTGGATCCCTGCCGTTTGGGATACTTTTTTCCTGTTGGTTACAAGAAGCAAGTTAATGACCATGAAAATACGGGATTTGCTAAAGTGATAATGGGTGGTGTCCCACACTACACCTCACACCGTTCCATGAGAGTGTCTTTTGCAGCCCTCACCTCGAATCTTTAAACGTTAAATGTGGAGCAGGGCCACATATACTTTCTCTCCATTGTCACCTGGAGCGGCAAAGCACATGTATCCTCAATTCCAAGAGTTTTAGCAGGTCTGTCCGTTCCCTGCTGACATCACTGGGACTGAAGCAGTCACTTGGAGAAACGCCAACAAATGTTTCTTCTGGGAAATGTATTTTTATTGTCAAAATGGGGCCAGCCTCGTGGAGAGGAGGGGGGGGGGAAAAAAAGCCAAGAGAAATGGAGCAGAGTGAGCTGTGCAAGCCATCCCTGACTGCAGGGTGGCGCTGGGGGTGTTTAACATTCGTCATGGATCTTTGTGAGCTGAAGCGTGTGCCAGGTCCCCTGGTAACAGGAGAGACAATTGCAGGACACTGAAGATCAAAGAGGGGGAATCCCTTTGCCTGTAATCAGGGTCTCGGAGTGGATCCCGGGTGTTTCGTGCCTTTGGTAGGGGCACCGGCATAGTGTTCCCTACCTTGACCTCGAGGGCTGT